GAATCGTATACAATATAATAATAACATTTATAATACAATTAGGCCTATATGATTTACTGTGAATTAATTGAAAATTAATAATATTTATATATATAATGATTTATTATAATGCAATTAATAATTGTTTATATTAGTATTAATTTTCACAGAGAAATATAAATAATTTTTTTTCTATGTTCTATAATATGATAAATAATCAATTATACAAATATAATTAATTTCACAGAAAAATATCAATCATTTTTATATTATATTACATTACATTATAAAAAAAAAAATAATGGTCTAATATTTCCCTCATTTGAATGCACAATTATTGGTGTTATCTCAAATAACTATATAAACATTCGATTATTTAATAATTGCCAGGCCTACTATCAGTATTGCTTATTTGTAATATGCATTCTTGGTTCAGAGTTATTCAAATCTGATATTGGTAGAAATACAAACTGAAACTTTAGTTAAAACATATCTATTGAAACAAGGTTTTATGAAGAGAGAAGTTGATGTTTTAGTCCACCTTGCTGATGAGCGTTGGTCTGAGTCGGGCAGTGGTGTAACACGGGTTGAAGAATTTACTGAGTGTTACCTGTGCAGGAAATAAAGACAAACGTCATATATTGTTAGTTACTTCATAAACTGAATAAAGGATAATTCTGTCATCATTTAGTCACCCTCAAGTCGTCTGTTGAAGACAAAAGAAGATATTTTGAAGAATGTTGGTAATCAGACAGTTGTTGGACCCCATTGACTTCCATTGTATATTTTGTTTCAATGGCTACAGTCAACTGTGTGATCACTAACATTCAACAGAAAAAAAAAACTCATACAGTCAGGTTTGGAACAGCATGAGGATAAGTAATGACATATTTTTTGGTGAACTATCCCACGGTCCACATAAAATAAACAAGTGGAATGAAGAAACATAAATCTGACTACTGCATTCCTTATCATTTTGTGTTTGAAATATGACAGAAAGCACCAGAAAACAGCTGAAAGCTCTTCACTTACTGGAGGAGGAACTGTTTTGTAGCGCACATAGAAAACAGCAGCGATCAGCGCCACATCTCTGGATATGATCAGTGCCGTCAGAGGAGCTGTGAGGAAAAACAGCACGAGGTTAGAGATCTGAACGAGTTAACTGCTATAATGCACAATGTGCATCCTGAAAAAGTGAATAAGTAATTATGCAAATATGGAGTGATGAAGCATTACGGTAAGTGGTTGTTCAAACCATACAAAGAGCATTAAAGTGATACTTCAGGATTAAGCATTAATCTTTGTGTTAGTATTAAACCTTTAGTATTTTCAAATTACCATGATTTCCAACCTCATGTCCCCCTGAGACAGGAGATTTATGTATTTTTTGTCTGGGAAAAATCCTCAGATGGCACAAAAAAATCGTCATTTAGGTCATCAGAGGATTGTTTGTCCGGAGGTAGGCGGGGCAAGTGCATTCTGGGAGTTGTTGTCTTTCATCCACATAAGCCAAAACTACATTTTCTGCCTTTTCTTAGTCTAGAAAGCTCCAAATTCAAAAATTTCTTCTACATAAATGACCCATTTTAAAAATAGACATTCACCTTTCCAGAGGTGGAGTATCCCTTTAATAAACCAACACTGTGTGACATTTCACACAGGATACATTTCATTTTTTGCCATTTTACAAAGTCTTGAACACATTTTTTCCTCATATTCTCCATTGTTGCGGCTCCTCTCTTCCCAGTCTGTCAGTAACGCTCTGTTTACTTCCTGTCTCTATGAAGCCCCTCCTTCTGAACAGCACACTGTGCTCTGATTGGTCGGCTGGATCAGTGTGTTGTGATTGGCCAAGAACTTCGAGTGTGTTTGGGAAAAGTCCCGCCCCTTACCATAACCGCCAGTTATGGTAACTCAACCAGGCCCCGCCCCTTTATTCTGCGCATGAATTATTATAATGAGGAATATTGTGACGTGTTCGACTACAATGGAGGCGTTTCAGGAGTTCAGAAACACTGACACTGATATAGAGGAGAACTGGAGCGTTTTCATGCCCAAACAGCAACATTACACACTAAAGAAGAGGATCATGGGAAATAGCAGAATAGGTCCTCTTTAAAGAAATGAAGCCACAGTGATGAATAAAAAATGATCTCACCAGGGATGAGCTGTGCATATGTCAGACTGACGTATAGAACACTGATGAGAATCTTATCAGCCAATGGGTCGAGAGCGCTGCCCAGAGCCGACTTCTGATTGGGCCAGTTACGAGCGATGTAGCCGTCCAGCTGACAGCGAAACCAGTGATCAGTACAACACATCTCCTTTAGGACAGTTCATTATAAAATCCTTAAGCGTTCTCTTCAACTTACCAAGTCCGTCGCTCCGGCCAATAAGAAAAGCCCCAGAGAGACGTGGAAGTACTGTTCGGTGATTAAATATCCCACGACAGGAGACAGAACGATCCGGGCTATACAGAGGTAATTAGGGATCGTCCAAGGATTCTCATACTGTGAAGAAA